AACAGGAGGCATTTTGCTGCTTTATTAATATAAATTTATAAACTGTTGGGGGAAGTTGCTAAAGAAAAGCAAGACTGGATCGGATGGTTCACTCGTTCAGGTGGCATTAATGGAGTGCCAGGTCTCATTGTATCAGTTGCTCTTCAAGGTGCTGGAAAGGTACAGACGGAGATAGAACTCAGATACTGGCTGCAAAGAGTTCACAGTCTAGACAGGAGGCACATATAGTCTATGCTCATTATTTGCAGATTCTGTGTTTGTGAATCTGCCCACTGACTGAAGTGTATTTGTAACCTCAAAATCAATACTCTGGGTGCCTTTCCAATGTGTCATTTTCCAATGTGCGCCAAGCAGTGAGAAACCCAAGTCATCAACACACGTGTTCCTAGCCGAGGTTGACTGAGGCGAAATTCTGTCTTCTTGTTTCAGCTCTCATACTGGGAATTAGCGCCCTTTCCATGGTCTACTAAGTGCCATGTTTTTCGTATTTTTGTGCTTTATGTTGGTGATTTCACTGTTTCAAATGGCCCCCAAGCATAGTGCCCAAGTGCTATCTGTGCTCTAAAGCATGCAAAGGCTGTGATATGTCTTACGAGAAAACACATGTTAGACAAGCTTCGTTCAAGCGTGAGTTACAGTTCTCTTGGCTGTGAGTTCAATGTTAATGAATCAAACCATATAAGGTGTACATTAAATAAGGTGTTTTAAACAGAAATACATGTAAGACACAGCCTGGTGAATGCTACGGTAAAGGTGTGAACGCCACACAATGCACACACACAAGAAGGAACAATGGACTCCACCCAGGAGAGTTGAAGGAGGCATTATAGAGGGGTTGCTTATGAGCTGGGGTTAAAAAAAAACCCTAAGTAGAAACTCAATGAATGGACCAGGACGGAAGGTCATTCAAGGCAGATTGGAACCATGTGCAAAGGAAGGGAGATCTGAAAGAGCCTGACATGCTCAGTGATTTAAAAAGTGATTAAAGTCAGATATTTTAAGTCACAAGCTCCAATTCATCCACATGCAGAATTTTCAGCCTTTACCAAGTTTCTCTACATAGTTTGGACTGTGATTTTTTTTTTTTTTTTTGTAACAAGGAAGTGTGCGGTATGTCAGCTGTGAAAATTGGCTCAATATTCATAATCAAATCTATTATGCTCCCTCTGAAGCTTGGGCCATGTTTCCGTAGAAACCCCTCGTTACATAAAGGAACCCTGGCCTGTAATTGGCAAGAACATCCACCACCTTTGGAAGCCATTATAGTAACGCCAGAGGGAACGCAAGTGTTATGTTATTCCTGCCGGAGAAAAGTAAGCTGGGAGGGCAAAAATAAAGATTCCTTCCTGTAGAGTCGCAAGCAGAGAGCACTGCAGGGCTTCAGGACATGGGATCATTTATCTTCCTCTTCACGTCCACATCTATGAATCAACCCAGTAACCAACTCATCTGCAGTGAACAGTGAACATTTACTGTATGCCCCGCATTATTCGAAGGACGAGGAGGCAACACACACACACACACACACACACACACACACACACGCTCTTTCCTTCACAGCTACACAGCAGTTTACATTAGCCTTCACATCCACATTCTGAGGTAGGTTTTATTACTTCCATTTTATAGAAGAGAAAACCACTCCAAAGGCTTAGGTAACTTAAGTTCACACAGCTAGTGAGTGAACTGGATCAGGATTTATGCTCAACTTTGATTTCAAACCAAGTGAGGTTTTATCTGTGTCTCGGAAAAGGTCTTTTTCCTCAAGAAACTTGTGCATGTGATGAATCAGAAGAGTAAGTGGCTCAGATTGGGAGTTTCAGAGGAATTCAGAAGAAAGAAGCGTGGGCACAAAAGTGCCACCACTGTCCCCCAGACATCATGAGCATCAGAACATGTGGTCTTTGATAACTGAAGATGGGAGAGGAAGTCATCCAAAGTGTACAGGGAAGCAAAGTTTTGGAAGCAGAAATCTTTTGGATGAATGAGGGGAGAAAGCAAAACAGAATTTGTCCGGGGGTTAGAGGGAATGTTCTACCAGCGCTAAAATGGATGGATCTTGGCAGATCATGAGGAGCCTTAAGTGGGATCAGTCCTCGTGACTCTGCCTCCAGAGAGGATGCCCATCTTTCATGACCCTGCCATTCATTCAGTAAATATTAGCAGGCGTCAAGTTTGTGCCAAGCATTGTTCTCAGCAGTGGGGATGTTTTAGAGAATGTGTTTTCAAATGTGAGAGCAGAGCCTGGTCTGCAGCCGGGGCGGCGGGGGGGGGGGGGGGAAGAGGGGGGAGCCGACACGCCCCCAGTGATGATGGTAGTTTTCACCGACCATTCTCACTGCTGCCTCTTCTTTCTCCACCCCAATCCCCAAGAGCTTCACCTGGCCTCAGCCTCTTTATCTGACACTCAAGTCAAGGTCATCCAGTTCCCTTGAGCTCCGAGGGTCAAAGGCAGCCTTCTTAGGCTCATGTTCTGGTTCTTCACCTTCAGCCCACTTTGTGTCATCCCTCAGGTACTGCAGCCATACTGAACTCCTTCCCACCAGGGCATCCCTTTAGTTCCTCTTATTGGAGTGCCCTTGGCCTCACCGCCAGCCTCCTGAAGACTAACTCATCCCTCAGGGTTCAGCTTAAAAGAATCTGCTTCCCAGGCGTCTGGCTGGCTCAGCCAGTTAAGCATCCGACTTTGGGTCAGGTCATGATCTCACAGTTTGTGAGTCCCAGCCCTGCATCATGCTCTGTGCTGACAGCTCAGAGCCCTGAGCCTAGTTCAGATTCTGCGTCTCCCTTTCTCTGCCCCTCCCCTGCTCATGCTCATGCTCATGCTCATGCTCTGTCTCTGAAATAAATAAACATTAAAAAAAAAAAAAAAAGAATCTGCTTCCAAATTCCCCCAATCGCAATGAATTCCTTCTTGTCCTGGACCCAGACAGCAAATACCTCTATTTTAGCCTACTTTCTATTCTGCCTTGTCATAAACCAGGGCTGGCAACCTGTCTGAGGACTCCTTAGGACCAGGGACATGCATCTTTATGCCATCATTTAGCACAGCGCCTGGCCCTTTGTCAAAGCTTGAGAAATCTCTTTTAAAAAATAAATACCCGAAGAGGATGCCCTTGAAATTAGAACAGTTCAGCTTAAAGTTAATTTAATTAAGACATTAAGGTTCATTTTTGCAAACTTATATTGTGAATGAAAACCATCTGAAATGTAATCTTAACCTACCTGCCCCTTCAATGACAGTTTAATTTCACTGTAATCTTTATTATAGTAACTTCTAAACCTGTTATTAGTATTACTAATGAAGTTGAAAGACCATTTCATCTGATTATTGTGTCTTAGGAAACATTTAATTATTAAATTCCACACTGATAATTAGAAACCCTATTATTTCATAATGGGCTAGGCAATACTATACAGGTATCCCTCAATTACTGAAACAGAAGCTGTCTTTTAAGTGTGTGGAAGTGAAATCTCATACATCAAATAGTCTCTTCTCACCAACCTGAGCTATATTATTAGAAACAGACAGGTGTAAAGTAAGGAGTATCCCCATGCCCCGAAATGGTAGCATTTTATGGCGTGAATGGCATCAGTGGCTGGTTTGCTCTTGTCCCTCCCAGAGCCTAGCAAGGTCTAAGATGGAGAGAATAAGCCAGAAGTTTTGGTGTGTGTATGTATGGGGGTGGAGTAGGAAGGCTTTTCTAATAGAGCTACCCAAAGATAAAATGGATTACCTTTGCAGGGATTGACAACAGAGGCTGGGCCAGGCAGGGTTTGGGGGGATGGGGGGGTGGAGGGGAGGGAGTGTGCTTGGCCACCAAAAGAAGAAGGGGAATGTGTTCATTCTAAGGGCCCTTCCATCTGGGATACTGTTTTATTCTAACTAGATTGTGCTCTCTTGGGCCTTATCCAAATTCTTACCAAATCCCAGGGCAGGAGCCATGCTAGGCAGCTCAAGGAAGGTTTCCAGAATCTGAAGGAGGCTGGGATGGCATCAAGTTCCTCATGGAGACAGTGGAACCCAGAAGGGAGATGGGGTTGACCAAAGTCTCCTGAACCTCCCCATACTCTGGATCGGGCACCTTAAGGTCCCAGCCTGCCCACCCCCGGAAACTGACATGGCTCCCAGCACATGGCCGGGTCCATTGTAGGGGTTTAGTAAATGTTTCACGAGGCTCTGGCTGACTGGGAGAGGAAGCAGGAGAAGCCTGCCCTCCCACCCCCAAGAGGAGCTCTGACTCACAACCTGTTTGGCACCGTGCACCTCTCTGGTTTCCTGATCTCTCTCTCTAACGCATAAAGCCTCCATGGCAGATGTTTTAAAACAATGATCACGACAATGACACTGTAATCCCCTACACTCCCCTTGCATCATAGAATTGTTCAAAGTGTTTTTGCAGCCTTACTCTTTAGGGTAGTTTGCGTTATTTGGACTGAGAATTTGCAAGACTTTTTTGGTGGCCCCACCAGATAACCGCAGCCCCGGGGGCTGGGAATCTGTTCGGGGTCTGAGCAAGGAAGGACACGGAGGAAGGCTGGGTTCAGAACTCAAAGTAATTTGAGAGTGTGGGTCGAGGTTAGGGCGGTCTGGCTGGGGGCGTTGGCACTAAAATGAGGGTGGGCGTGCGCATCTAACTAGGGATTGATGGCAGGGCCTTTTTTTTTTTTTTTTTTTTTTGGTTTTCTTGGAAGGAATAACGGCTATGGAGGAATTCCGTGTGTAGAAGCAAAAAGGGCTGGTCCAAGCTTCTTCTTGGGGGGCAAAGCCAAACGACCAAGGCCGAAAGAAGGGCAGGGGCTACCTTGCGTGGCGATGGGCAGCACCAGCCCCGGGCCTCGGAAGGGGTCGCCGCGCCGCCGTGGGGCGAGGCTGGGGCCGGCGGGGGTGGGGAGCCCCAGGGGCCGGGGCGGGGCCGGGCTGGGGGCGGGCCGGGGCGGGGCTCCGGGGCCGTCTCGCAGGCTGCGGCGGCCGCGGGAGAGGCGTCCACAGCGGCGGCGGCTGGGGCAGCGGCGGACGCGCGGCCGAGCAGGGCGGCGGCGAGCCCGGGTGAGCGCGGCGCGGACGCGGCGGGGAGCGCGGGTGGGGGGCGGCAGGGAAGGGGGCTCGGGAGGCGCCGCCGGGCGACCCATGCCACCCTTCCCTGGTCCCTGATGCCTCTGCAGCCTTCAGGGGCGGGAGGGAGGGACGGGCGGAGAGCCGAGAACCCAGTCCTTCAGCCCTTCCCCTGCGATCGCCGTCCAGATGTCCGTCTGTGCGCCCGTTGCCCGGCTTGCTCTCCAGGACTGCCTCCTGATTGTGTTCGGGATCACCCCCCTCACCCCTCCACCAATCAGTCTCCCGCCCCCAGCCAGGTGTCTTCAGCTCCAGAGCCATTCTTCCAGGGGACCCCATCTTCTGCTTCCCCCTTCCCACCACCAGAGGCCCGGGCTCCGCACCTCTCTCTACAGCCCGAGAGGCGAGAATGACCCCCTTCCCCAGTGCCTGCATACCCGGACCTTTCTGCGGCCACCTGCCCCAGGTGTTCTGAGTCAGCCAGCACACTGCTGTGCCTGGGACCCAGGCTTCCGCTCCAGATCACCTTCCTTCTCCCCCGAATCCCAGACTGGCAAAAGGGACTTTACAGATCCTGAGCTTTGAGAGCAATTTGACCCACTTCCCGAAAGGCTGGTCCCAGGCCAGCCATGCTATTTGGTGGAGACACCTGTCTTGCCTGCCAGCTGAGGGACCCGGAAGCCTCTGTCATCATGGGCCCAGTGGGCTCCCGGGTCCTTCTCCAAGCTGGTCTTGACTTGCTGACTGGTGTCCCCAGAGACCAGAGCCAAGACCTTTGTCATTTAAGACCTTCAGAGGTATTTGCCGACCCCACCCCCAGATCCTCCGAGTTCCCTTCAGCCACTGTGTTGGGTGTGCAGGGTCTGGCACTGCCAAGGCCACTGGTTTGAGCTCGGTCTCCTCACCCATGTCCTGGTTTCCCTGCTTGCTACCCAGGGACTCCAGGGCAGAGCAATGGGGCAGGTGTTTCAGGCCCTGGTAGCCCCACAGCTCTGTGGCCGGCCTGCCTTACTCTGTTGGAAACTTTTCAGATCTTTCCCCATCACCATCCCTCTGGGTAGGGCCTGGGCCATCTGCATATCATTGAGTCCCCAGGGCACAGCGATCTGGGCTGGGACTGAGAAGGGCTGGGACACTGTACTGCACGAAGGCCAGCCGGAGGAGGAGGGCAGCTAGCCAGGTCAGGCCGGGCATCTGGGCCCCGGGGGCTCTGGCTTTAGGGTGGGTCTTGGGCTTTCCCTGAGCTCTGAATGGGGTCCCAGGCTGGCTCTGCTGTGAAGAGAGGAGGCAGAACAGGGGCTGTTTTTCCTGCGTGCTTCTGACTGTCTTGTGTTGCTATGGTGACAGTTTTGCCTCTCTTCCTCCTTCTGACTCTTCTGGGAGCTGGTTTTTATTGGTCTGTTGTCCTGTCTTTTATGGCTCTAATTTCTCCTTTCTACTTGTTCTGAAATAAACAGTCATAAACATGGGCACTGGGCCCAGGCTGGGGGCTGGCAGAACGTCACCTCCTTCTGGCCCTGGGCTCCGGTGAGAGGAGAGAGGTGGGGACCCATTTGTCCACACTCCCTCCTGGCTGCCTCTCCGGGGAGCGGGCAGCAGCGCCCAGCTCTCAGGCACACAGTGGGTGGCATACTGCCTCGGTGCTAACACTGCGCCGCAGGGGCTGCCCCCACTTTGCAGATGAGGAAACTAAGCTCCAGTGAGCTACTGCCCTCAGGTCACGCTGGTTTTAGCACATAGTCAGCATGCAGTTTTTTTTCATTGAATGCAACAGGGCTGGAGCCGGTGTCCTAAAGCCCACTTGCCTGACTTCCCACTCTGTGGGCTCTCTGGGCCCGCTCTGCACCACCCCCCTGCCCCGGGGGACAGCAGAGCTCTCCAAACCCCATGCTCTGGAGGTGCTGCTGACTCCCACGTTGGCGAGCTGCCAGGGAGCTCCCTGTCAGGTCCTTTGTGCACCCTTGACCCCAACTGTTGGAGACCCAAGTTGAGAGGGGAGAGAAGCCACTTGTGACTTCCTGTTTTTGACTCAGCACCAAGAATCATTCGGTTTACTTTTGCTCTCAGATCCTAGATGCAACTGGGTAAGTCAGGGGCATCGAGAGCCAAGTCAATCCCACACTCCCCACCCAGCCAGCTCTGGATGGAGTTCATAGTTCTCCAGGGCCATAGGGTCACTGACTGTCAGCTGTCAGTGACACTCTCCAGAGAAACTGCCCTGTCTCTTCCTCCCTTCCCTTTTATTTTCCCTTCCTTTCTCACTCCCTTCTCCACTTTCTCCTTTCACTTTGCCTGTCCTCCAGGCCTGTTAATAATACTTGGAAGAAGCATTATGGTAACAGGAGAAGACTAGGGAATCAGCAGCCTCATTGTCGAATGTTGGCTCTGGAGAAGCCAGTTCGCTCCTGTGGGCCTCAGTTTCAGTCTTTAAAATGGGGTTTACGGCCTCTACCCCAATGACCACGTTTGCCTGCTCCTGAAGGGTGGCACAGAGTAGCCTATAGGGGGTGCTTTGAACAGTCGAAAGCCTGAAGCACCTGTAATGTCTGTATCCCACTGGGAAATCTCAGTGTTGGACACTCCAAACTACTGCCCAGAGATTAGAACTGATCTCGGAATAATTAAGCTGTGAAATCTCAGGGTTGGAGGCATTCCCTAAAGCCATCTTGTCCGCTCTTGATGTTGCATTCACTTCATTCATATACTTGACATGCACTAAGCATCTACTCGGTACCAAATACAGTTTTGGGAACTGGGGATTTTAAAAAATATGTACATTATTCCTTTTTTCATTCTTTTCAAAGAATGTAGTCAGACATGGAAAGAAATCTTTAGGATACAGTCAGAGAGGTGGTGTGACAAAGTCATGGCGATGCAGGGCCCAGAGATGACAGTTTGACTAGGTCACCATGAAGGTTGAATCGGGCATCCTGTGCTGGGTTCCTATTTCATCCTGGTTGAAACTCTTTCTCAGAGGCTGCATCAGTGGCCTCACAGGGCAGCGTGGTGATTGGAAGGAAGTGGATTTTGGAGTCAGCTGTGAATCCAAACTCCGTGGCTGTAGAATCCTGGACTAGCTAACCACACCGAATCTCAGTTCTTGTATCTGTAAAATGGTAACACTACTACTTGCCTTTTGAGATGTAAACGATGTTAATGTCTTTATGAGGTCTGGCATGGTGCCCACCTCACAGTAGACTTGCCGGTATTTAGTCTTATTGATTAGGAAAGAGTTCTCAGTTACTAGGCCTCTGAGTCCTCTTAGCAGAGGTGGGGAGCTCTTTGGACTAATTCGGGCCTTCGGAGATCCATTCATTATCTGGGAAGGTTACAAATTGCCCACACTCAGGTTCCTCAGCTGCTGGTTAATCTTTGAGTTCTCTCTCACCAGATAAACGATCCTCTACCGCACGGGACTCTATGCAAATCCCCGACACTTTTGTTTTCTCAAAAGGGAATCTATTAGAAATGGCAAATAACACTCTGGGTTTAAAGAACATGCTACTCTCTGTGACAGTACTTTAATTTGACAAAGCCCGACGGGTTTATTTTTACTTTGTTGCCTTTGATTTTGGTGTCAAATCCAAAACTTCATTGCCAAGACCAGTGTCGGAGAGTTTATCGCCTGTATTTTTTAGGAATTTTATCGATTCAGGTCTGTCTTTGAAGTTTTTCATCCATTTTGAGCTTCTTTGTGTCTATGGTGTAAGAAAGGGGTCCAGTTTCATTCCTTTGAATGTGGCCATCCAGTTTTCCCAGCACCTTGTGTTGACAAGACCATCTTTTCCCCGTTGTGTATCCCCGTTCCTCCTTTGTCTGAGGATACTTACAAGTGAATGCTTCACTTCATACTTTTTTATTCTGGGCGTGTGTAGCGTCCTTATTTTTTTATTTTTTTCAAGTTACCACATATACATTTTCTCAAATCCTCACCAGGATTCTGTGACATCAGTATTATCGGTCCCTTTTCACAGTTAAGGAAACTGGGAAGGCAAGGTAACCGCACTGCATCAGCTAGTAAGTGACGGGGCCGGAATTTAAACCTGGGTCCTGCTCACTCGGTGTTTCTGTGTTGGTATACAGTCTTGTCATTTCCTTGGCTGCTGTGTCAGTGACCTAAAATAGTTGTGTTTGGAGACCAAGAGCAGACTTTAACAGGGATGGACCTGGTCAGTAACTTAGACTCATAGTAAATATTTAGAGACTTTATTAGAGTTTTCTCAGAGTAGCATTAACAGAGCTCTCCGCACTTGGCCGAGCCTTCATTCTGGGAGGTGTTGAATGGTAGAGGAGTCTGACATGTCCGAATTAAGAGAAGATGTTTGCCGGTGCTAGAAGTAGTGTCCTCTGCACAAGAATGGATTACGGGTTTGTCATTGAAATAAACTGAACTGATTTTATAACTGAACATACGAATGGAAAACATGACAGGTGCATCCCAAGGATATAAGGACAGAAACAACAAGGTCAGAAAATGTGAGTGGATGGCTGTTAAATGTGAGGGCGATTTGGATTTAGGCTGTCATTAGAACCCATATCTAGGAATAGGAAAGTGTTGAAAAGCAATTGCGGAATTGCTCACCGCTAGCCTTTCAGTAATTCAGAAGCCTGATTTCCCTGGTTTAAGGACCCGTTGCCCCAGTGAATCAGGTGCTGAAAAGGGGTTCAGCTGGTTCACCAGCAATGTGCTTACCTGGTCCAGCTTAGCGCTGCAGACCGATGAGTTCTTATTTGCAGTTATCTCAGGGCCTGAGTCTGGTGTCTGCTTATTTAATGACTTCACTTTCTAATAAAAATTCTGTGTGGTGTAGATAATTAGATCTTTAAAATGAAACTGGGGAAATGGTGTGCCCCCAAAGAATTTAATTGCAGTTTGATGATGGATCGAGCATAAAAATAAGATCATTCATTCACTTATTTAACAAACATGTGCAGAGCAGGTTCTTGCCCTGTGACGGTATAGGCAGCTCGTAGTGATTAGTATGGCATCATCC